TCCATTTTTCTGAGGTTGGCTACCGGCACCGCGTGCGGCTAATTCTAATTGTAAGAGAGGCGTAAAGTGCTTTGGTATAGTTGGGTTTTCCACACTGTGTGATTGTCCCTGCAGCGGCTCCAAAATCACTACACCCTCTAGGGTGGCAAGCACGGGCGTCCGAACATCACTTCTTAGCACATTGACACCCGCAGTGATTTCGGTGCATGTCACACATGTGACATAGCTACATTACCTGCGTGCATAGCCGGCGATGCACAAATCTTATATTCGGGACATTTTGTGGAATTCCGCTACAGGACCCATATATTCCGCCACAAGATCCGTGTATTCCGCCGCAGGACTTACACAATCTCAACTGCAACCCCCCACTGTGCTGCAGCGTATTGCTTTTGTCCTTTCTTTGTTCTAATTTTCCTCGTTTTCTCTTTCGCTTCTCACCATTTCTTGCTCGGCCTCTCGTCAGGAAATATGCTCAGTAATTAGTAGCCATTGCAGTTTATTGCTAAACAGTTTATGAGGGCTCGAACTAAGGCAGTGCTTCTGCAAATTGGAGTTCCAAAAATTTCTTGGACACTGGAACTCCTATAGTCACAGAAGTATTGAAAAAAGATATAAGGGGAACTTAAAATCTATGTGCATACCGGGCGATGCACAAATGTCAGATTTGGGAGTTTCGACGTGCATACCCGGCGATGCACGCGGGCTGCAATGTTCAAATGATTTTTCGTAATGTCGGACGCCCGCCCCTGTGTGTATATTTTACTGCAAAACAGAACATCAGTAGACATTTAGATCATCATGGCAAATGCTAACAATGGATCTTATGACTACACAAGAAAGAGGATGATAAGAGAAAGGTAAAGGAGAACCTACGGGCACGATCGATAGGCTTAGCGGCAGGGCATGCTGACGGTTGACTATGGTAGACTAGGCCCCATTGAGGCTTCAACTGAGGACGAAGGCGCAACAGCCTGGCGAGACGACGGAACAACTGACAGCTGACCAAGGCGGGCTTGACAGAGAAGCAGAGCAACTTCCCGCGCAGCTGCCAGTTGCACCTCTCAAACGGTGAGGAAGTCTATCGAAGCATACTATCGGCGCGTACCGGGTACGATGAAATGGTCGTGGCGAGAATCACGACAAAGTTATCACTCACAATAGAAACTGAATTCAAGATAAGAATTTGATACGTCGGAAGAAGATGCTCAGATCTGGACTGTACTGCCCGCTACATCACGCAAAAATGATAGCGTATTCTAAGTCAGATGTCAAACATCGCCACGTCATAGAGTGACAAACTGGCAAGCTTGCATAAGAGTGCATTAATTTACAATACGCCGTGTGGAGGTGTAATCACTCCAGGAGTTCATGACGTGCTTCAGAAAGAAGCGCTCAAAAAACTTCAAGGCTCTGAGCGGCCGAGTGGGCTCAAAAGTATATCCTCCATCGTATGAACCAAAACTTTGGTGTCAGTTTGTCGGTATGTGGGCGTGTCCGTCCGCAAAACGAAGTAAGTGATGGGGCAGCTGATGGAATAATCAAAGAACTAGCAGATCTGCAATGCTCTCAGGACTTGCGCTATCATTGATTCGCATTAACATGAATGTGATAACATCCCAACGGCTACATATGTGAACGCCTGCTAAGCAGTCATTTCATATAATGCTGCAGTGACAGCTGAGGGCAGTGGAGGGAGGGAGGAGAATAGGGAAGGAAGGGGAAACCAATCTCCAACGGACGTGAACCACAACTAGTATTGTGATGTCATTTCAACGATATGGTATGTTGTTTACCTTCCAAATGAAGAAAGTGTAAAGTTTGCCCAGGGAAGACAAGTGTCTACAGCTTCTCTCTTCTTGCAACCTCGGCATTTCAGTTGTAAGTGTGTTAGTACTTCTGTGCCTCACGAGGTTGTTAGGTGGAACTTTATTCAGTGGCCTAACGTTTCGACGGAATCGTCGTCTTCAGAGGCCTGAACATGTTTCAAGTTTTAGATCTACGCTCTACCCCACCAAGCACCTCGTCAACTCTAGCAGTTCCGACACAGTGTCAGGAACCCCTCGAGGAGACCCGAGTAGCACGAAAAATAAACTCACCGATAGTTCCACCGTTTGAGCGGGTCAGACCGCTACCATACGAGAGCGTTAGTAAGGTTGAAGTGATGAATACTCGATTGTCTCCTTTTACCAAGATATTAGGAGACGCACGTAACGCCCGATCATTCTACAGCTCGCAGTGCGGTATAAACGGCAGAGGTCATTTGTTATAGAGGGACACTCATCTCGGCTGTTCATTCTAGGATTTTTGGTGTGTATCCAGAATGCTTCCAACGCTTTCCTCGCCGAAGTTTCTGTCTCATGAGCCAGCAGGTTGCACTTTATTTCAAAATCTATATCATCATTTGGCTGTTCATTCTAGATTTCTGGATACACACAAACATCCTAGAAATGAACAGCGCGAGATGATGTCCTCCTATAACAAATGACCTTCTGCCGTTTGATACCGCCTGCGAGCTGTAGATTGATCGGCGTTACGTGGCGTCTCCTAATATCTTGTAAAAGGAGACATCGAGTATTCATCACTCCAACCTTACTAACGCTCTCGTATGGTAAGCGGTCTGACCGCGTCAAACGGTGGAAGCTATCGGTGAGTTTATTTTTCGTGCTACTCGGTCTCCTTGAGGGGTTCCTGACACTGTGTCGGAACTGCTAGAGTTTGACGAGGTGGCTTGGTGGGGTAGAGCGTAGATCTAAAACTTGAACATGTTCAGGCCTTCTGAAGACGACGATTCCGTCGAAACGTTAGGCCACTGAATAAAGTTCCAACCTAAACAATCCTCGTGAGGCACAGAAGTACTTAACCAACTTACAAAGTGTCTACGTGTCTGAAGCACGAAAAATAGTTCTCTAAACTCAGCTTATAACATGCTGTATATAAAATAAAAGTTAGGCTACGTATTGCATGAATTTTCGAAGTTTCAGGACGAAAATGTGACTTTTTCTTACGAAACACCATGGGCTATCAAATCAAGAAGAACAAGTTTACTCAAACATTGTTGTGCGTGCCGCGGCTCACTACATGTTTCAAGTAGCGCGTTATATGTGTGTTGAATCTTGAATAAACGAAATATGACATACCTTTTGACGCGCATCCCACTATTTGTTTCTGCAGACCGCTACCTTCTAAATTGGAATTCACATGTCTGTCGATGAAATGTAACTCAAACAGCCGTGGACACACCAACAGACTTTGTTTCACAATCGTCTGAGTGATGAATCTCTTTCGTTAAAAGTGTAAAAGTCACTACTTAGGTTAGAAAGTCAATGCCGATACTCAAAAAGTTCACGTTGGTTTAAGTTTTGGCAGTTGCGGCTGCAGCGTTGAAAAAATTAGCTGCCTTGTATTGCAACGTCCAAGTTGCTGGCGTCTCCCTTGTACGACCGTGCTCTCTCAAAGTTCAATCCTTTACGCTCTTCGGTGTCTCTTCAACGCAGCTACTGGTCAAACTCACAAAAGAGACAACTCTCCCCAACTTTTCCGGTGGAGAATCACTCAAGTCCTTTTCCCCTTCAAGGCAGGTCATTTCACGATCATAAGTCCCATTCGACGCAAAAGAACTTTGTCTTTCAACGCAAATGTCCCGTCCAGAAGAGGAGTGTTTATCATTTGGCTGTTCATTCTAGATTTCTGGATACACACGCAAACATCCTAGAAATGAACAGCGCGAGATGATGTCCTCCTATACAAATGACCTTCTGCCGTTTGAATACCGCACCTGCGAGGCTGGTAGCCATGATCGGCCGTTTACGTGGCGTCTCCTAATATCTTGTAAAAGGATGACATCGAGTTATTCATCACTCCAAACCTTACTAACGCTCTCGTATGGTAAGCGGTCTGACCGCGCTCAAACGTGGAAGGCTATCGGTGAGTTTATTTTTCGTGCTACTCGGTCTCCTTGAGGGGTTCCTGCACTGTGTCGGAAACTGCTAGAGTTGACGAGGTGGCTTGTGGGGTAAGAGCGTACGATCTAAAACTTGCCAACCTGTTCAGGCCTTCTGAGAACGCGATTCCGTCGAAACGTTAGGCACTGAAAATAAAGTTCCAACCTAAACAATCCTCGTGAGGCAGCAGAAGTACTTAACCAACTTACAAAGTGTCTACGTGTCTGAAGCACGAAAAACTAGTGTTCTCTAAAAACTCAGCTTTAACATGCTGTTATAAAAATAAAAAGGTTAGGCTACGTATTCGCATGAATTTTCGAAGTTTCAGGACGAAAATGTGACTTTTTCTTACGAAACACGCCATGGGGCTATCACAATCAAGAAGATCAAGTTTACTCAAACATTGTTGTGAGTGCCGCGGATCAGCTACATGTTTCAAGTAGCGCGTTATACGTGTGTTGAATCTTGAATAAACAGACATATGACAATACCTTTTTGACCCGCGCCATACCCACTATTTGTTTCTTGCAGACGGCTCCCTTCTAAAATTGGAATTCACTGTCTGTCGATGAAATGTGCAACTCAAACAGCCCTGTGTGACACACCCCAACCGACTGTTGTTTCACAATCGTCCTGAGTGGATGAATCTCTTTCGATTAAAAGTGTAAAAGTCCACTACTAGGTTAGAAAAGTCAATGCCGATACTCAAAAAGTTCACGTTAGGGTTAAGTTTTGTGCCGTTGCGCTGCAGCGTTGAAATTAGCTGCTTGTATTGGCAACGGTCCAAGTGCCTGCTCGGTCTCCCTTGGTGTCACTGTGCTCTCTTCAAGTTCAATCTCTTACGCATCTCGGTGGTGCTCTCAACCAGCACTGGTTAACTCACAAAAGGAGACAACTCTCCCCAATCTTATCCGGTGGAATCCACTCAAGTCTTTTCCCATTTCCAAGGCAGGTCATTTCACGCATCATAAGTCCCATTTCCGCACGCAAAAGAACTTTGTCTTTCAACTCAAAATGTCCCGTCCAGTAAGGAGAGGTTTAATAGTGTCTGTGCATATGGAGCATAGACGCGATACTGGGCATACGATTCATCTTCGCGGGAAAGGAAAAGTTAATAGAAGTGAGGGCCAACCCCAAATAAAAGGTGTGTTAAGAGCGTGTAGCATGAAGCTCGAGAGAGGTAGTCTGCTAAGAGGAAACTATGCAAAAACCCCGATTTGCGCCCGAGTTGAGACCCTCCTTTCAGGCAGCATATCCTCCTGGAGGAGCGTGTTTGGACGAAGCTTTGAACGCTAAACTCAGTGGCTCAAAGACAATGGCATAGAGCCCTTCAACTCAATGTTAACCCGCGCCAGCGCAGATCATCTCACATGCCACTGCGAGGGCAGCCAACAGCAGTAGACGGGGTTTGCGAAGTAAATTGTGGATCGTAGATGCAAGTTTTCTACGCGCTTTGTCGTTTACTTCCAATCTGCGATATACCAACGTTGGAACGTGTTCCTACGATCGATTATGGAACAGGGATTGAGCGTGCCTACTCCCGGACCTCATTTCCAAACGCCATTATGAGATCGACTCATGGCAACCAGTTTTGGAAGTTATAGGTCATCTAAATATATATAAAGCGCTACTTTGTGTGTCGTGTTTGATGTATTCTAGTAGTGTCGGCTGTGCGTGTGTGTGCTATGTATGTATGTGTTGCGTCCGCACCAAATGAAGTGAGTGAGAAGGAAGCTTTCATGGGATAAAAACAAACCGATAACAGATGGGGTAGCTTACAGGATTTGAAGATATCAATGTTTTTGTAGCAGGATAGTTGTGATAACATCTTAGGGCTATATAAACACCTGCTTAGCACACTTCCGTTCTTCCACATGGTACTGCAGTGGCAGCTGGAGGGCAGTGGAGAGAGAAGGAGTATGATGGGGAAGGGGAAGGGACCGAAAAATCTAACCGCTCATATCATGATTGTGTCCCTTCCTACTGTATGAAACACCATTTGTTGTTGCAATACGCGGTCACTTCCTAGGAGGTGTCACAGGAGGAAAGGACCATAGCGGAGGATAGAAAGCTTGCGCATTAAAGGAAGGTCCCGGCGGTTGACGGGGGACTAATCTGGTCACTAATAACTGAGGAAAATTGTACGAATGAGGGAATAGGAGATCAGCAGATTAGAAGATGCCGCTGGAAATATTATATGCTTCCTATTCTACTTCGTCCCATTCAATACGCAGCCGTGCTTTCCTGCTAATGACTTTAATCATACAATCTTACATCTCATAATCTGCTAGTCTCCCAGATTGTTGCCCATGAGAACGGCTTATAGTCTGAGGGATATGCTGCTCCTCAGTGGCATCAGCCGACGTTCATCTTTCTGTGGCCCTCCGATTTCTCGCCCCACTCTTCTTCCTTCTTTCCTGCTTCGCCAAGCTTCCGGACACCTACACTACACACACTATTGCTCAAAATCATTTTGAGAAGCTGAGCCTTATGAAGCGTAATTTATGACTTCTATGGTTTTGCTTTGAACCCATTACACTTCTCTTTTCTCTTTTTATAGAAGCCTAATTCGTCTTACGTTGTAAAAGATTGCATGCTATTGATGCCATTCCATGCACTGACGCCATTCTATACACATATAGGAGGTCTCATCCCTGTAGCTGTTTAGGAAATCTTCAAAGAGCGAGGGGCTCGGACGAGTCATCACGCCGTAGACTGGGCCACTGCAGCGCTGTGCCTCTTCATCAACAGCAAATCAGTAGCTAACCTGTACTGCCCACACAGGGGTCTTTGAATTTCCTCCACTTTTCTGAGGAAAGCCTGCGTTTTCTTCAAGACTCCGTGAATTCTTTTGTTTCTCATTAGACGGTGTCCTTTGTGGGTCACTCAATGTTGGTGTTTTTTGTAGATCACTTGTCCGTGGCGTTTGATTACCCTTCGGCATTGAATCATCCAGTGACTCTGAAGATGGGGATTGTACTAGCCAAGGAAGAACGCAGAAGGATGAATCGATACCATCAGGGAAAGCCATGCAGTACAACTAACACTGCAACATCTCATCAATATGATCATCCTACCTAAAAATCCCTATTACATACATATAATGATCTATGTGTGTGAGCCTGTCCGTCTGTGAAGAAATTCCCTAGCTCCTAGAGATTCATCTGAAGAGATCGGGTCAAGTGTAGGATGGGTTAGCCAGTCTCAAGAAAAACCAATATCAGCTAAGCAGAACTTCTCCCACAGTGAGCGTGGCGTGTATTGAAAAGAGCGGTACTGAAAACCGTGATTTCAAATTCAGTCTCTGAACAACCTCGAGACTAGGGAAGGAAAAGAGGTTTGCCTTGGTACGCCAGGTAGGATGGGGGAAAACCACAGGAAGAATTGTTATGGGGAAGCAATGTCTAAGGTGTTCCCAGCATACAAGACGTGTGTGGAGCCCTCCCACAATGGGCGGATGATGTTCTGAAGTGGACAGCATTTCCTACAAGTCCTCATAATTCGGTTCCGAGAAGTCTAAGAAACCTGGAAAAACGTGAATAGAGGTCAGAGAAGGAGGGTAGGCTAAACGTTTATGGTGGGCGTAGCACGCCTAAAAGTGGGCGAAGTTATCAAACTTATACCTCAGTTGCAAGAAGCCCCGGCGACCGGGAAAAAAGTAGATCGAAGCAGGAGAAGGAAATGAGGTCAAGCGCTATTGGTGGGCGGAACATGCACAAGACAGGGCGGAGTTGTCCGTGCAGCATTACAGCTTGGTTCCAAGAAGTCTCATCGTCAGAGACTGGAAAAAAGTGTGTAAAGTCTAACGAAGGAATAGAGGTTACCCGCTAACAGCGGGCTTGGCGCTTGTTGAAGTGGGCTGAGTGTGTCACGAAACTTCATAATTTGCTTCCGAGCAACCGGGAAAACCGGGGAAAAAAAAGTTGGAGAAGGAGGCAAGGGCAAATGTTGATGATGGGGCGTGCCGCGCGCCGATTATGATGGGGCGTGCCGCGCGCCGATGTGTATTTATAAGTACGGCAGCAAACTCCGATGTGCGGAGTTTGCTGCCGTACTTATAACTAGGTTCTTAGAGACTTTGAAATCCGGGAAAAAGTGGATGGACCGGCAAGGGAAAAGGGATCAACTGCTTTCTGTGGGCAGACCAGCACCAAAATGGGTGGAGTTTGCCACAAAACTTCATTATTCGGTTCCAGGAAGTCCCGGAGACAGGGAAAAAAGGGATTAGTCGTTGGCGTAGTAAAGGAGGCCACCTGTCACAGGTGGGTGGGGCACGCATCGGAATGGGTGGAGTAATCCACAAACATTATAACTCGACCAAAGATGTTCTAAAGACCGGGAAAAAGTGGAAAGAATCTGACACGGAAGGGTCGTTATGTGCTATTGGGGGGTGGAGTGGGCGAAGTTCAAGCGTTACAAGAATATGGATGGCCCTGTTTTACACTGTAGTTTCGTGTGATGCACGCGAATGCCTGCGCAGCCAAACTGATGTCTTATATTATATACCGAGCCGCATGCTGCTTCTGCTGATTCGAAGCGCCAATTTGATTATTAAAAGTATCGAAGGTATACGGCAAAAGCGAATGTATATGGGCGGAAGTGGTGTAGTGGCAAGTGGCACACTTACCACGCGAGCGGTCCAGGGATCAGATCCAGGGTCGTGAGTCGCCCGGGCCAACCAAGCCATCCATCCCTCCGGGGTCGGTAAATTGGTATCAGACTTGTCTGGGAGGATAAAAAACACTGACTTGTACATCGGCTGGCCCCCGCAAGTCATTGTATAGGCCACATCGCATTCAAACGCCACTGCGAATGTACAAATGGAAGTAGGATGCGTGCCGCATCCCAAGACGGGATTGATCGACGGCAAAAGCGTTATCCTTCAGCTTTTGTCCTTTATCAAAGGTATATTACGTGTGCAAAAGGCACACGTGGAAAGGAAAATGAGTACCTCTGTACAGAGAATAGCGTGCTTGTAAGAAAAAACTCGAATACTAAAACAGGTAACTTCGGAATCAGTCTCACAAAACTATGACTATTGGTTCCTCAGTATTGTGACTATACGATGCCTGAACTGAGCTTGTGACAGAGTAACCGGTATGTTCTTTGCAATGTTCATATAATCACTACCAGCTCTATACGTGAAGCTTTAGCAGATTAGTTTTAGGTCGCGTTAAGGGGATTTTCATAGAACCTCCCCTAGTTCTCAAACATGTCATCTTGAAGACATTGGTAGAACCTGACAAACAAAGACCTTGTATCAGCTTATAAACTAAGCAGAGATCAAAAACTCTGCGTCTGAATTTCAAAGATGTAAGTCCCAGAGAGCTATTCCTACTAACTGCATTTGGTATGTTGGAGTACTCAAAACCACCTATTCTTATGAGCAGTTTGCGAGTGAAACTATTTTGAACCTTTTCAATTGTACATATATGTTTCTTCTTTAAGGTATTGAATACCGTAGTGCTAGATCCAACTAACGGCCTCACGTAGGATTTGTAGGCATGCAGCAATGCATTCTTATTAGCCGAGGTTAGACTTTTGAAAATTTGAAATATGCGTAAGTGAGCTGTTTTGGCTTTTGTTTTAATATGTTCAGATAAGTCTAATTTATAATTATAATGAAAACCATGGTCTTAGACGGATTCGACAACCGAGAGGGGTATTCCCTCGATAGAGTAAGAGTCTATCGATGATGTAGCACCGGTTTCTAATCGCATGTGTACCGTTTTGGTTGGAGATGTAGGTAGTTGCCAATCCTTAGACCAGGGACGATAGTAAAGTAGGCAAACGTGCACGTTAACGGGCTTCTCAAACCCGTTTGTAACGTGCAGGTGGACGTTTTGCCGATTACATTGTATACTGCGTCGATTCCCAAGTGAGCTGCACGTCCCAGGCCTCGCAACGCGCAGCTGTGAAACGCGGAAGGCAGGCTCGCCGACAGATAACGGGACGCGCAGGGGCGAAATAGTGTGTGTTTGGAGAGACGCAGGTGACGAAAGAAACGCGCAGGCAAAAAGTCCTCCGGAGGACTTTTTGGGGTTGGCGAACCTCAAACTTGGAAGGTGGGTAACGTCGATTGCGAAATAGTGTGTACGAGGGGAAGCAATTGAGGGAGAGAGCACAGTTTTGGAGAGGTTGGAGACGGCGAGAGAGTGTGGCAGAGTCTGGCAGGCGCGCAACTCACATCCTTACGGGGATCCAGGAAGCTACGCAGTCTTAGGCGGCGTCGCTTGTCAGTGCCATTTGCGCGGATATTCATTTTTAGAAGCGTACTCCGTTTTTTTACGGATGCGCTGCACCATTATTTTTGATCGTCGTCTTTCCCTTTTCCTTTTTTCCAAGGGGAAAATTAAAATCACTGAGAACATGAATTGCGCTCAATTCTTGAGTTAGTCACCATATTTCGAATTTGAAAAGTCTCAAGTCTTTTGGTGTCCAATATATTGCATATGTCACTCTTATTGTGATTTTCATACTATGGTATAAGAAGAGAACTATTTGTAATTGACTAGCAATTTTTTCGGTTGTTTTCTGGATTTCCGTGCAAAAACTGCAGAACTATTCGTTAGTCCAAGACGAGTCCAGGATGAGATGACTTATCGAGGGCCAGAGGTATTGCTCTTCATATCAAATTCACACATCTTTAATCCTTATTACACGTTTGCCGGGTGCAGTTGCATATATCCAAGCGTTTTACCGCCAAAGATGCCAAGGGCTCAATAGCAAGTATGTCTAGTGCCTTTCCTATCTTCCTATTATACCTGCTTATTTAGCTGAGTTTCCTTTGAATTAGATCGGTTGCTTACAGGAAAGCGCTCAGCTTAGTGAACATTTCTTGATCATTTTTTGTTCACTAGTAATTGAAGAGGGAGCTATATTATTCATTTTTGTGAATTCTTCTTTTGCTCTGTTTGACAGAAATGTAGTCCTTTCTTCATTCCCTTAACTTTCGCTACACCTATTTTTATCACCAGTCACCAAGCGGCTAGTTAGCAGCTAAATTTTCGAAGGGATTCATCTACTGCTCATTTTTAAAATTCGCCCCATCAAAGGATGAGTAAAGTCAAATATTAGAAAGAATGATTCAACAAATATCCCATAGCCATTGTACTTAAAAATCAAAACTGGTGACTATTGCAGCTGAATATTTGATTCATCCTCATAACCATCATGCTACGATTAAGTTGTGCCTGAAAATGTTCATCGATTTCATTTATGGGAATTCATAATACTTTACTCAGGCCATTTTCACCTATAACTGATTATTTCAGCACTAAAGCAATTCAAGAAGATCTCCACTGCCTGCTCAGCCCTCAGCGATCCAAACAAGCGAAGGCAATGCGATGTAAGCGGGCCTAGCTGCAGTCAGTCAGGCTTCGAAGGATTATGTGTCCGAACTAGGAGGAGTAGGTGTGTGGGAGTTCCTTTTTGATTATTCCATCGTTCATTAACTGCATTTTTAGTTTAGTCGCGTGTTCAAAGCTCTTTTTAATAAATTAGGTGACTCGATTCCTACTCAAATTGTGCCAAAAGTAAGTTCTCTTTGAATGTCTTTCTGCAGTTTTACGTATATTTTGTATTATATGGAGTAAGGATATCAGTTTGTTAAATAATCATTCCCTGAACCTATTGTAGGTATTTGCTCAAGCTCGGCAACTTTGCGAGGGATAGGACTGCAATGTGGAAGCCCGGCCAATAGCATATGGTGGAAGCATTTCGGCTAGTATCGCGAAACAGGTCTCAACAGGAGGCGTGTTATTCGATGGATTTGTTCAGGTTGTCAATAATGTTGAGGAAGAGGTGGAGTGGAGACGAAGATCTCAAATTGCCGAGCAGGCATTCTGTAAAAGAGGCAGAGATAAGGGTGCTGCAGAAGGAAATGTTGAGTAAGAAATGAAGATGTTCGACAGTGTTATCCACATGTGCGTTGAATTAATGGAAGCCCAACGCACGATAGCGCAGGAGGTGATTAATTTACTTAAGGTATGCATGCAATTCTGTGTTTTGCTGCAAGGACTAAGGAGATCGTTTAGGAGCCGAAACCACACTGTCAAGTGTTTCATGCAAAATCAGATCCAACCCACGAAATATGCGAGACGAACGTGGAGCCAAGCTTATTTGAGGCCTAATCACCTACTTTTTATCCCAGTCGATTCGTTTGTGGGTTATTTATCGTATATAGTGTTCACTACAGTTTCCGATACACATACATATTGCTGATACTTGCAGATATTTAGCTCATGGCTTCAGGTTACATACTTGTTGTGCTGTTGCTACACCACTATTATGATTCGTTCTATTGCATTGCGTTTCTAATTTTGTTATGGAAAGCTTCGGAAAACTCAATGGGAGTAAGTGGAGTGATGGTTGCAACAACAACAATTTGAATAAAAAAAATTATAGTACTTCAGCTGAGATCGAAGGCTTTGGAAATTGAAGATCGAAGGCCTTGGAAATGCTCTGTCTGAACTGGGATCAAACGGTGGTGCCGATATTGCTGCAAGTAAGTGGTCACAATTTTAACAATACTTGCTAGTTCTTGTTTGCAATAGCAATAAGATTTCCGTTGTAGGCGTTGGGAGCACTTGCAAAAGAGCGGCCCGAGAATCCCATTGCCTTCTTGATCAACTTCCTCACCAAGGAGAGCCATCGACGGAAAATGTCTTCTAATCTTTCTGCTGCCACGTTCATGAGTCATGGAAGCAAAGCTCCATCGTTATTACATTTTTACTCTGTAGATAAATGAGTTCGACAGATCACTTCTTTGTTGTGGCTTTTTAAAGTTGCTTTTGAAGGTTGTTGTTGTTTATGAATGGAACTTCATTACTTGTCAGTGTTGTTTGCACAAAACGTGTTCGTGAGGAATTGTTGTTGCAGTTCTCAGCTGCTTCATTCTTATAAGCTGCGAAATGTTCACTGGATGATGGTGAGCGCCAGAGCAAGTTAGCGCCAAGGGCAAGGTAGCCAATCACTCCACCTGAAGTTCCCAGTCTCCCAACTAATGCACATCGTTTCATGCAGCTCATCGTCCTATTCACTAATGAATGATCTTTCGCAAGGTAATGCACGAGTATCCGCACTGCAGTATTAAGTGAGTGAGAACCAGCATCGCCTTCCTTGTTTGAAGAACAGGGCTCAAAAAACTCAAACTTAAGAGTGAGCACCTTCAAACTCTAGGTGGCTACCATGCAGCACACATGCTGACAATAGAAGCACTCTGACTATGAGCTTGTGAGCAAAGTCAACCTTTCGCTGCGCAAATTTCAAAATGTCTACGACCCTTTGCCACTTTCAGGGTATCAGTGGGAACCCCTTATTAGTTATGCATGTCATTTTTGCATATTTCATGCCCATAATCGATGACCATTATCGACATGGAATGACCAGGTGGGCAGTGGGAGGTCAATACATCGCGCACTCTCCGTGTTCCGTGGTGCATTGTCAATGATTCATTCTCATATGTCATCCACTGATGAGTCATTGGTTTGCAGAGGGTGTTCCTCCATACCATGGTTGAGAGCTCCATGGCGCACTGCCATGTCTCTACGACATCGCTGGCAAGGTAGGTGGATCGCTACCGCACGGGACCCGGTTTTTGCAAACAGCGTGATCCGTCCCACTGTTATAGGCAACCCTTGATGAGTGGCTGTACAGTACCCCGTGGCGCAGTGGCAACGATAGCAAGTAACATACGCATGACGCTGGTACGGGTTCGTGGAAGAAGGAAGTTTTGCTTACGATGTCGCGAAGCTGCGTGTTTCAGAGCTAGTTAACTTCCAACTTCAACAACGTTCTTTGCCGGTTACGGGCATAGGATGGCTTTCCTTAACAGCTAGTTTGGGGTAGATTACTACCGTCCCAGCTCACTATGATGTTTATCGCTCATTGCATTTTTGAAGAGTCTTCAATGTTCAGTATCGCTTTGTAGATTTTTATATCGTCAGCGTACACTTTTGCTATGACACCTGTTTGCTGAATCATGCTTGGAAGTTCAGGTGTAAAAATGTTAAAAAGTACTGGTGATAATACACCCCCCTGAGGCACACCACTATACTCGTTTCACGTTAGAAAATTACTGCTCAATTTTGACTTGAAACGTTCTCTCACTCAGATAATTCGGAATCCATTTCGTGATCACCGGATGACATCTTAGAACTTCTAACTTGTGAATCAGTTTCTTGTGTCAAACTCTATCAAAAGCTTTCGCAAAGTCGAAATAAATTACAGCACAACACCGCCTGTTATCTAGGATCTCAGTCCAATCATTCAGACATTCAACCATATTGGTTTCAACGGAACGACAGGGTACAAAACCATGCTGGTGTTTTGAAACAATATGATTTATTGTCAAGTGGTGATTTATATGTTCTTTCAAAACTTTTTTCAAATATTCTGCAGAATAGGGAACTAATACTGACAGGCCGGTAATTCTCGGGATTCCATGATGGTTCTTTCTTTAGTATAGGTGACGTAGGAGCGCATCCAAAGTAAGAGTACCTGTCCAAGTGTTGAAGACTGATTGAAAATATAAGCAAGGGGACCACAGATAACATCAGCCATTTTTTGTACAATAAAGAATGGTATCAAATCAGGAGTTACTGAGAAGGAACCGGGCCATTTCGTGATCAAATCATGCAACATGGTGGCGGTGAACGAGGGAAAGGCTCGGTTATGGGGCATACGTAATCAGGTAATTTCCCATCATCTTCATGAAAAACATTCACAAAGTGGTCAGCTAACATGTTGGCTTTATCGAAAGGTGAAATCGCTAAGATTCCATCTTTTCTCAAGCAACTATTACGTTTGAAGTCTTGAATTCTCTTACTTAAGTACTTATGAAAACTACGAACGTTCCCTGAGTATATAATTTTCCTCTCTAAAAAGTCATTATATTTTTGAGACTTGTGCTGAATCTCTGTGTGAAAGCTTTGAACTCTTCCCAATCATCTCGTTGTCTTGCTTCATTGAACAAATACTCTCGATGTTCCCACATGTTCTGTAGATGTTTGGGAAGATGGACTGATTTGAAGCAAGCAACTTTTTTCCAGAGAACGTAGTAATCGATAGCAGCATGCAGTACAGATAAGAATAGCTCATATTTATCATCCACATTGCTTCTTGGTTCTAGCAGTGGTATCCAACGAATCTGAGCTAGACCACTACAAAGTTCATTGAAATTGCAGCAAAAATACATGCGTTTATAAACATAGATATGGGAGGACAAGTTACACGCAATTCGAAATTCGATATTGTGATCACTTAAAGGCAAGATTCGGGATAAAATAGGTGAGGAAAAGCGTCCAGTCGTGAAGCTGTAGGTGGCGGGTGGTCTGTTAAAGAGAAGGAAAGGAAACGAAACCACCGATTACGCTCCGCGCAGAGACCTCCCCTATTTCAGCCACATTCCACCTTGGGATAGAGAAGAGGCGAATTGGACGAGTTCCGCGAACCTAACTCTACTTGCTTCAGTGTCAATAACATTGGATAGCGCTGGGACCACTGCCTCAAATGCGCCCGCGCTTTTCAAGCAGCGCCACGTGGCAACCGGCAGCGACGGGTGGGGCTTGCGGACGAAGGTTTGAGTTGCGGGTTGGACAAGCTCCTTGCGCCACTGTCGCGTACTTCCAAGCCGCAAAAGGGGTTCGACATCAGCACTTGTTCACCTGCCTACCACCCCCTGGATGGAACAGGCGAGCCCACCTGATCGCGGAGCGTGCCTTTAAACCCACCGGAGCGCTAACTGTAAGACTTTCTACTGAATTTGGGACATTGGAAAAAACTAAATCAAGAATACTACTTTCCCTTGTGGCATTCTTGACATGCTGGGTGAGGTTATGACATTGAGCAAGTTTACTTAGACAGGATACCACAGGTGACGTTGAAAGAACCACCTCATCTTGGCAAAAGATTGAATTCACCCATGATCACAGTGTGTTTATCGCATGACATCAGGTCACTGGCGCTTTGATAAGCAAGTCCGACTTCGCTTTAGAGCATGAAGGAGTTCTGTAGATTGCTATCATTCTGAAGTTGTAGTCTTCACAGAATACATCTACACAGAGCACTTCAAAAGAGTCTTCAACCGATTCAGCAAACACTAAACACAACGAAAACCTGCGCTGAGGAATAAAAATGACCCCACCTCAAGGTTTTTTCGGCCGATCGCATCTAATAATATCATAGTTATCAGTTATCGTACCCAGATTAGAGGTCATTGTGTGATTAGGTTTCAACCAAGTCTCTGAGAAGACGTTTATATCGTAATGTTGAGCCAGCAATATGCGTAAAAAGCCTTTTTTACGCATATTGCTGGGTTTAGAGTTTTTAGAGGCTGATCGGATATACAATAGAAAAACCTCAATGAGCGAACATACCGAGGAATAGGTCTTACCAGGAAGGTCTTTCAGGACATAGAGCCCTTTTTGAAAACGGTTTTTTGCATGATAAAGTGGCACATGCATGGAGTGCAAAACTAGGCTCCATTCTTTCTGAGTGGCCCTCTGAATGCCAAAAAAGGAGTGAAAAAAATTCCTTCGGAAATCGGAGTTTTCACACCTTCAACGTAGTTTATATCACTCGTTATGTTAAGTGGACGCACAATAGAAGATTTTCTTCACCTGAACGTTGAAAACAGCGTGGAATAAGGCCAATACCGAAAATTGTATATAATAAGTGCTCAAAAGCACAAGGAAGTTCCATCAGAGTTGCTGACATCCATTGCATAGCGGTGGTCGGATGGTCGAGTGGATAGCGTGATGGGCTCTGGGTTGCACGGTTTGTTCGAAGTTCTTGGTTCGATTCCCCCCATGCTCAGATTTTTGCATTTTTCCGATTATCACTTTTCTGCATTTACATGTGCTTGCGCGTGAAATTAAAGCCTATAGGTGTCA